TTCAGCTCAAGGCTAGTGCTCTACCACTTGAGCCACAGCGCCACTTCTGGCTTTTTTCTTTTTGTTTATGTGGTGCTGAGGAATCGAATCCAGGGCCTCAGGCATGCAAGGCAAGCGCTCTACCACTGAGCCACCTTCCCAGCCCCTAGTCAGACTTTTTCTATCAGTAAAAGCTTCAGCAGCAAAACATAATAACCCAGAACTCAGCAGCGTAAATGAAAGATACATAATTTCTCACAATTCTTAGTCAGCCGAGTCTCCTGGCCCCGTGCTCTCCTGGCCCTTAGCTCGGGCCACGTGCTCTAAGGTGCCCCTGTGTAGAGTAGTTAGCAAGCAGGCAAGCTGTCGTAAGGAGCGCTCACCTCCTGTGACTACTCATCCTCCGATTCACTAGCCCAGCTTTTGACTTGTTTTGACTTGTTTCCTTTGGGTAATATTGAGGTTTGAGCTCAGTTTTAGCAAGGCATTCCCAGGGTTCCACCTCCACACCCAGCGCACACATGCCTTTATCCATTTGCTAACTTGCTGTTGGGCAAAGCAGTGGAGAAGCAGGCTCTGGTAAAACACCACGTTCTGAGCCAGGGGAAAGCAGAACTTAGTGCCTAGCAATGTCTTTCAGATGCCTGGGAAATGGGGGAAACACTTTTTTTCATAGCCTTTTCTTAAATATACTAAAATTACTCCTTCTGACTGAAGAAAACCCCTTCAGAGAGATTTGAGTGTGAGTGTTTGCTGGGAACTGTACTTCACAGTGTCCGTGTTCTTTCAGTATGGTGGCCAAGAACATCTGGATGCTCCTCCAGCTGAGTTGCTCTTAGCCCAGACGGAAGACTACGTGGAGTACTCACGGCATGGGGCGGTCATCAAGGGGCAGGAGCGGGCCGTGGCCTGCTCCAAGTATGAAGAGGACGTGAAGATCCACAACCACACGGTGCGTCCTGAGCCCCTGTCCCCGCTGGCTTTGCTCGGCCTGGGCTTCCCTGTGAGAATGTCACTCCACCCACAGTGGCTGTGTTTCTGTTAGCATTTTAACCTTGTCTTACGAGATGTTTCTAAAAACAGGAAAATGTAAAAAAAAAAAAAATACTATGTTCACTGGTGTGCCCACTTAGAATCAAAAGAATTGTGCCATAGATTTACTTCACACATTTTGCTTTGCTTTGCTTTTTTCCTTTTTGGTGTTAGTCCTGAGGCTTGAACTCAGGGCCTCTCTCACTCGGCTTTTTTTACTCACAGCTGGTGTTCTACTACCACTTCAGCCACACTTCAACTTCAGACATTTTTGCTTGTGTATGAAGGTAGTAATCCTCAGATCTCAGCTTCCTACGTAGCTAGGATTAAGGGTGTGGGCCACCTTTAAATAGGCACGCAGCCTATTTATTTATGCATTTGGTTAACATTCAGAAATTGCAGACATTTTGCCCATAAACACTGTATCGCCTATCTCCGAAAAAATAAGGATATTCTCTTAGTGAGCCAGGTTACCCTTACTTTGCTTCCCAGGAATTATTGATTCCTTAAAACTTAATTTAACCCTGTCATTTTTTAAAAGCTATACACTCAAACAGGGTACCAGTGGCTCAGGAAGCTGAGATTTGAGGATTGAGGCTCAAAGCCAGACTGGGCAGGAAAGGTATGAGAGACTCTTATCTCCAATTAACCACAAAGAGCCAAAAGTGGAGCTATGGTTCAAGTGGTAGAGCACTAGCTTAGAACAAAAAGAGCTCAGGGCTCAAGCCCCAGTACCAGTACAAATATATATATATATATATATATATATATATATATATATATATATATATATATATACAAAATGCTTTGAATAGATTCTTTTTTCAGTCAGAATCTAGTTGATTTGAGTTTTTCTTTTGATCGTGATTTGATGGTTGCATCTTTCTTTCAGAGTCCATCTCTCTGTTCGTTGACAGTGACCATTTATTTACCGGCCAGAGTTATCTGTACACTGTCTCAAATTTTATCTCTGAATATTCCCTAGTAATATCACAGCTTTTCCTCAGTGCCCTGTGTGGTAAGAATTGAGGCCCACAGTCTGGGCTTGATGTAGTTAAGCCTTTTGGCAAGAATATGTGGTAGATTTAGTATATTTCATTTTGTGTGACATCATAAAGCAGTATTGTCACTTGCTGAGTGTTTTGTGCTGGGGATTGAATCCAAGGCCTACACATGCTCTACCATTGAGCTAACTCCTAGCTCTGTTTATCATACTCTTTTTTGTTGTTGTTGTTGTTGTTGTGGGGCTTGAACTCTGGACTTGGGCATTGTCCCTCAGCTCTTCAGCTCCTGGCGAGCGCTCTACCGCTTGAGCCACAGGGCCACGTCCGGTTTTCTAATGGTTTATTGGAGATAAGAGTCTCATGGACTTTCATGCCCGGGCTGGCTTTGAACCGTGATCCTCACATCTCAGCCTCCTGAGTAGCTAGGATTACAGGCGTGAGCTACCGGCGCCTGGGTTTTCATACTCTTAAACCAAACTGGGGGCTAGGAAGGTAGCTCAGTGGTAGAATGCTTGCCTTGCATGCAAGAGACCCTGGGTTCAATTCCTCTGCACCACATAAACTAAAAAAGCTGGAATTGGTGCTGTGGCTCAAGTATTAGAGCTTTAGCCTTGAGCTGAAGAACTGAGGGACAGCGCCCAGACCCAGAGTTCAAGCCCCATGACCTACCGAAAATAAAGTAATCATACTGTAACTTTCTAACTCAGGGATCAGAAACCTATCAGCCTGTAGCTACCCAGGCCACTGGTAATTGAAAGAGCTGGGAAAGTTGTAAAAACAGGGTGACAGGAAACCTTCACTGTTCAGCAGCTGTCACCTATTGCAAAGTACATAGGCCCAGGGCAGTCTAGTACCTTTCAGTTTTTTTTATTTTT